TCCTGAATGTGGCGATGTTAACTCCCACTGATGCCTGTAAAATATCCACTCCTGCTGGCCACAGTCCGGCCCCTCTAAAGTCTGTTTAGAAAGTTTGGAGACTCCCCGTGTTAGAGAGTCAGCCTGTTATTTATATTTTCAATTCACATTGCTTTTTAGGCTTATTTATTATCATTATTGTTTTATAAAATACCACACAACAACATATTCACGCCTTGGTTTTATCCCGCCTTGATTACTGCAACTCCCTCCTCACTGGCCTACCATTACACAGATTATCCCCCCTTCAGTCTATTATGAATGCTGCTGCTAGACTCATACACCTTACCAACCGATCAGCGACTGCTGCCCCTCTTTGCCAATCCCTCCACTGGCTTCCATTAACCCAACTTATAAAATTCGAAATACTAACCACAGCTTACAAAGCTGTCCACAACACTTCCCCTAGCTACATCACCAACCTCATCCGCAGATATCACCCAAATCGCCCACTCCGCTCCTCCCAAGACATCTTCCTCTGTAGCTCCCTCATCTCCTCCTCCCACGCTCGCCTCCAGGACTTCTCCAGGTAATAGATTTTTTTCTTTTTAATGTTGTGTTGATATTTTGTAACGTGCAGTGCTGTAAAAAGGTCATCCAGTGCCCTAAGCAAGAATTCCCCCAACCCCCAGCTGATAGTGGAGTAAGGTTTGTAATGTACAGTATGTAATGTTTGGGACATTCACTTAAATAGCTCCCATAGTGGTGGTTCATTACCATAACAAAAAAATGTGTAACTAGGGTATTCAATGAATAAAGCCAACTCATCCAATGGGTGCCATCACTGCAGACAGAAACACAACTAACCATAATAACAAGTGGAGAACAGTGAAAGCATATAGACATGGACACCCGTGGCGTCAAATAATTCCAGCAGTATAAACTTTATTAAGTTCACAAAACTAGTCAAAAAAAGAGAAAGACAATACCCCTTCACCCTCCTAATTAAAATTGGACCATGTCTCACAAATTACCCTAAAGTGACGTCAAAATTGGGGTTAAATTTGATCCCAATGGACTCCAAAGTAAAGCATAACAGTCAACTAGTGACCAGCTCCTTCTAGATAGCTTGAAAACAAAATAAAATATAGTTAGTATATTTATTATTTATTTCAGGTACTTATATAGCGCCGTCAATTTACGCAGCGCTTTACACATATATATTGTACATTCACATCAGTCCCTAACCCTCAAGGGGTGTGCAATCTAAGGCAGCCTTTGTCAACCAGGGTGCCCAGGCACCCTGTGGTGCCTTGAGGTTTCTTCAGGGGTGCCTTGGCAAAATGTCTAAAAACTTGCCCGAAACTTGTATACAAGTCTGCAGGTGAAATAATCCTGCCTTTTATGCAGGCCATAGACGGGTCGTTTATCAGCCAATTTTTTGTCAGGCCGATAGTCACACACACACACACACACACACACACACACACACACACACACACACACACACACACACACACACACATATATATATATATATATAAATAAAACACCCATGCCACCCTGTAGCAGTATTTCTGCTATAGGGCGGCACAGAAGTGGTTAATGGTCTAAAATCATATCCATATTTTCTATAGGTATGAGAAAAATATAAATAAACAAGATCATTAAAAAATATAACAAAATGATTAAATGTTATTGTAAATGCATGCACACGGGAGTCATGGTCGCATCACAGTTCTCTCAATGGACAGCATGCCGTCCATTGAGAGCGCAAAGCGCCTACAATCGGTGACATCACCAGCTGTTACACATGTAAATATCTCCTAAACAGGGGCGGATTGACCATTTGAGCACTCGGGCACTGCCCGAGGTCCCAGGGTCAATAGGGGGGCCCCATGAGATGCCCTTGGTACCTTTCAGAGGCTTTTTTGGGTGTGGTTTGAGTGTGGGCAAGAACACAGGGGCCCCATGACCCCCTATTGCCCGGGGGCCCCATGAGTTGTCAGTCCGAACTGAAAGTCTGAAGGAGAGGAGTGGGAAGCCCAGCTGCATAAGCTGCATGGAGACAAGAGAGGGTTATTATTATTATTATTATAATACAGAATTTATATAGCGCCAACAGTTTGCTCAGCGCTTTAAAACCTTTAAAACCGGACCCATATTAATTACACAGGTTCTGGGGCTGGATAAGGAGGTAATTAAAAGCACTTTGTGCTTTCCGGCATTATGTTATATAGTTAGTCCGGCTGAAAAAAGACAAAAGTCCATCCAGTTCATCCATAGAAAAAAAAAAAAGTTATAATCCTATACCTACAGTTGATCCAGAGGAAGGCAAAAAATCCCAACAAAGCATGATTAAGTTAGCCTCAGAACCTGTGTAATTAAAGCAGAACCTGTGTACAAGGCATGCAGAGCCCTTTCTGTCGGCATGCGAGCCAAGTTGCCGCAGCAGCCGAGCAGCAGATAAAATTACACATAGGGGCCAATGTGCATGCTCGGAAAGGAGTAGCGAAGCCAGGCAACTATTAGCCCTGACTCGTCTGAGCTTTCGAATGGTCAGTCAGTTCGCTACTAAGGACTTATATATTGGACTGGCTGTGAGTTTTAATACATTCGTTTTTATTAACACAAGATTTTAGCTTGGTGGTCAGGGGAACTTTGCCCCCTTGTGCTGGTGGTCAGGGGAACTTTGCCCCCTTGTGCTGGTGGTCAGGGGAACATTGCCCCCCCCCCCCCCGTGCTGGTGGTCAGCGGAACTTTGCCCCCTTGTGCTGGTGGTCAGCGGAACTTTGCCCCCTTGTGCTGTTGGTCAGCAGAACATTCCCCCCCCCCCCGTGCTGGAGGTCAGTGGAACATTGCCCCCCCCCCCCCCCCGTGCTGAAGGTCAGCGGAACATTGCCCCTCTGTGCTGGAGGTCAGCGGAACATTGCCCCTCTGTGCTGGAGGTCAGCGGAACATTGCCCCTCTGTGCTGGAGGTCAGCGGAACATTGCCCCTCTATGCTGGAGGTCAGAGGAACATTGCCCCTCTGTGCTGGAGGTCAGCAGAACATTGCCCCTCTGTGTGGAGGTCAGCAGAACATTGCCCCTCTGTGCTGGAGGTCAGCAGAACATTGCCCCTCTGTGTGGAGGTCAGCAGAACATTACCCCTCTGTGCTGGAGGTCAGCGGAACATTGCCCCTCAGCAGGGCTGGTGGTACCTCCATATATGAGCGGCCCTGCCATTATATATATATATATATACACACACATATATATATACATACACACACACACAGAGTAATAATCACAAAAACACGTGAAAGAAGTGAATCCAACTAATAATGGGCAGTAGAAGAGTATACATAATACAGCTATAGTCAGAGATTTTTGAATGTTTGAATTAATTGAGAGCACGCTTACCTGTCACATATGAAAAACCCAGTGTCATCACTAGGGTTGGCGTCACCTGGTGTGCTATTGACATGAAATTTTCATCACGTCAAAACAAATAAGTTTAGAAATTAAGTTATGTATAATCAAATGAAATGACACAGGGAAAAATTATTGAACAGGCTAACTGAAATGTATTTAATACTTCGTACAAAATCCTTTGTTGGTAATGACTGCTTCAGGACGCCTCCTTTATGGAGAAAACTAGTCGCATGCATTGCTCAGGTGTGATTTTGGCCCATTCTTCCACACAGTCTTCAAATCTCGCTGGTTTCGTGGGCCTCTTCTATGAACTCTGATCTTTAGTCCTGTCCATAGATTTTCTATTGGATTCAAGTCAGGTGATTGCCTGGCCATTCTAGCGCTTTATTCTCTTTCTTTGAAACCAGTTGAAAGTTTCCTTGGCTTTGTGTTTGGGATTATTTTCTTGCAGAAATGTCCACCCTCGTCTCATATTCATCCTGGTAGATGGCAGCAGATTTTTATCAAGAATGTCTTGGTACATTTTTCCATACATCCTTCCTTCAATGACATGAAGTTTGTCAGTACCGTATGCTGAAAATCAGCCCCACACCATGATGTTCCCACCTCCAAACGTCACTGTTGGGAAGGTGTTTTTGGGGTGATGTGCAGTGCTAATTGACCTCCAAACATGGTGTTTATTATGGCATCCAAGGAGTTCAGTTTTGGTCTCATCTGACCAGACTATATTCTCCCAGTATTTCACAGGCTTCTCTAAATGTTCTGCAGAAAACTAAACAAGCTTCAACATGCTTTTTCTTCAGCAATGGAGTCGTGAGTCATGGTGGTTGAGTGCATTACTTATTGTATTCTTTGAAACAATTGTATCTGCTAATCCCAGGACTTACTGAAGCTCACCACAAGTGGATCTTGGCTCTTGTACAACTTCTGATAATTCTTCTTTTCACTCTGTCAAAAATCTTGCGAGGAGTACCTGGTCCTGGATGGTTTATGGTGAAATGATGTTCTTTCCACTTCCGAATTATGGCTCCAGCTGTGTGTGTGTAATATATATATATATACTGTATTTTCCGGCATATAAGATGACTTTTTAACCCATGAAAATCTTCTCAAAAGTTGTGGGTCGTCTTATACGCCGGTATACGGCAAGCTGACACTTCCAAGCCGGTGTACCCAGGGGCGTATTTGCCTAGGGTGGCACCGCCCCCCCTTCCAATGGAAGGGACACTAAGTACAGGGGCGGGCAGGGGGCTGCTGTTTCTTACCTGGCTCTGGTCCTAGTCCCACGACGATCCAGTCCAGGAAGCCCGGCTGCTCCTTCATTCAGTTCAGTCACTCTCTCACTCGAAGTTCGTGCGGCCGCTCGGCTCCGCCTCCTCACCAGTGATCGGGCGCTAGAACTGTAGCTCAGGAAAGGCACACAGGCGGCCAATCACCTGCGAGGAGGCGGAGCCAAGCGGTCCTGCGAACATCGAGTGAGGGAGCGGCCAGTAAGTGTGCCATGCAGATAGTGCTGCTGCAACCACGTATGCTGGTTGCAGCAGTACCACGCTGGAACAGGGGTCAGCAAGTGTCAGTGGGAGGAATAGTGCCCCATCATTGGTGTCACTGATACGAATGATGGGGCACTATTCCTCCCCCCCACTGACACCAACGATGGGGCACTATTCCTCCCCCCACTGACACCAACGATGGGGCACTATTCCTCCCCCCACTGACACCAACGATGGGGCACTATTCCTCCCCCCACTGACACCAACGATGGGGCACTATTCCCCCCCCCCACTGACACCAACGATGGGGCACTATTACACCCCCCACTGACACCAATGATGGGGTACTATTCCTCCCACTGACACCAATGATGGGGCATGATTCCTCGCTCTGACACCAATGATGGAACACTATTCCTTCCCCCACTGACACCAATGATGGGATGCTATTCCTCCCACTGACACCAATGATGGGGCATGATTCCTCGCTCTGACACCAATGATGGGGCACTGTTCCTCCCACTGACACCAATGATGGGGCACTATTCCTCCCACTGACACCAACGATGGGGCACTATTCCTCCCCCCACTGACACCAACGATGGGGCACTATTCCTCCCCCCACTGACACCAACGATGGGGCACTATTCCCCCCCCCACTGACACCAACGATGGGGCACTATTACACCCCCCACTGACACCAATGATGGGGTACTATTCCTCCCACTGACACCAATGATGGGGCATGATTCCTCGCTCTGACACCAATGATGGAACACTATTCCTTCCCCCACTGACACCAATGATGGGATGCTATTCCTCCCACTGACACCAATGATGGGGCATGATTCCTCGCTCTGACACCAATGATGGGGCACTGTTCCTCCCACTGACACCAATGATGGGGCACTATTCCTCCCACTGACACCAATGATGGGGCACTATTTCTCCCACTGACACTGATGGAGTACTATTCCTCCCACTGACACTAATGATGGGACACTATTCCTCACACTCTGACACTAATGATGGTCATCATTGGTGTCAGTGGGAGGAATAGTTCCCCATCATTGGTGTCAGTGGGAGGAATAGTGCCCCATCATTGGTGTCAGTGGGAGGAATAGCACCCCATCATTGTAATACCATACTGAAATACCATACCATATTGAAATCAAATCTGATGTTTTTTAATTTTTATTTGGAGTGCGTTGGAAGAGTGATAGCCCAAACCCTATATTTTAACAGGAAAAGTAGGGGGTCATCTTATACTCCGGAAAATACAGCATATATATATATATATATATATATATATATATACACACACACACCTGCACTTCTCTTCTACATGGAATGGAATCAGTCTGGGCCCCTGCCCTCTCAGGAGGTACTCCATCTCTCCCTTACTTGAGGGTGAAGATGGCAACCAGCAGCAGCCTAGACAAGACCAGCAGCCTCCAGAGCCTCTCCCACTTCATGTATCTTTTGGCTCCCCACCCCCCTTGTGTCTTCTCTGGCGCCTCTCCCGCCTCGTGTCTCCTCCAACGCCTCTCATGCTTCCTGTCTCCTTCCCCCTCTCATGTCTTCCCTGGTGCCTCTCCCCCCTCATTTCTTTGCCGGCTCCTTTCCTGCCTCATGTCTCCTCCAACACCTCTCATGCTTCCTGTCTCCTCTGGTTCCTCCACCCTCATGTATTCCCTGTCAGCTCTCCCCGCATTTTTTTGCCGGCTCCTCTCCCCCCTCATGTCTCTTCCGGCTCCTCTCCTGCTTCATGGCTCCTCTCCCGCCTCATGTTTTCTCTGACTCCTCTGCAGCCTCATGTCTCCTCCAAATCCTTTCCTGCTTCTTGTCTCCTCCGGCTCCTCTCCTGCCTCATGTTTTCTCTAGCAGCTTTCTCCTCTGAGCCGCTCTGCTTCCTGGTTGTTGGGACAACGCCAAGCTCTCTCATCAATGGAACCTCTGATTGGATGCCCCAGCACTGTAGCTGCGCTTGACAGAGGGGGGAGGTGAGCAGAGATGAGTATCTACCACAGCTGTCAATCATCCAGCTGGTAGGCAGCAGATAGAAATATCTCTGGGGCCCAGGCCCCTTGGGACGCTCGGGCCCCCTACATATGTATGGGCTGTGCCCTCCTGATGGTGGCCTTGCTTGATAGTGTCAACCCTCTGGATATCACTTGGGTGCTGCATCCCCATAGCGACGCCACTGGAAAAACCCACAAAAAAATTAGCAAAAAAGGTACCTGAAAGCTTTTCAGATGCAAAGACCAAATACAACACACAAAAAAGAATAGTGAATCAATACCTGGTCTCAAAATATCAACCAAACCGCTCTCTTCGATTCTCCCAAGACCTTCTGCTCTCTAGTTCCTGTGTCACCTCCTCCCATGCTCGCCTCTAGGACTTCTGCCGAGCTTCTCCCATCTTATAGAACTCCCTACCCCAATCTGTCCAGCTATCTCCTAATCCACCTTTAGATGATCCCTGAAAACCTCTCTTTAAAGAAGCCTATCCTGCTTCTAACTAGTAAATTGCCATTTATTTCCTCCATCAGCTCATCCCCCACAGCTATTACCTTTTGTATCACTCAACCCTTCCTCCTAGATTGTAAGCTCCAACGAGCAGGGCCCTCTGTTTCCTCTTGTACCAAATTGTATTGTAACTGTAATGTCTGCCTTTATTTTGTAAAGGGCTGCGCAAACTGTTGGTGCTATATAAAGCCTGTATAATAATAATCAATAAACAAATTGCATATGGTGCAAATGACTATTGAAATAATTGAATAATTCCCTAAATGTGCAATAAAGTACAAAAACCCTCAGCTTTCAGCTCCACTAGCGTAGCCAGCAAAAAGCCAATATGTTTCTAAATTTGAACTAAAAATGCTCGGTTATAAATTCTAGAGGCATCTAAATGTAAAGTAGGGTTCTCTGTATTTATTTTTAATAGATAGGAGACCGAATGAATGGGCGGTCTTAGCTGGAGCATTGGGGATTTTTTTTTTTAAATTTGCCCTAGAAGGAGATCGATAGATAGATAGAGAGATTATATATATATATATATATATATATATATATATATACACACACATATACATATACATACATACACACACAGTGGCGTCCCGAGGCAGGTGCGGGGGGTGCGCACCGCACTGGGTGACACCTACCGCATGGGGTGACACCGGACCCGCTCCACGAAAAGGTAAGTTTTAAAGCAAGCCGACAATCCCCGCAGGATCGGATTGTCGGCTTGCTTTACAACTTACTTTTTCGTGGAGCGGGTCCGGTGTCACCCCATATACAGTTGTGACCAAAATTATTCAACCCCCACTGAAATTGAGTGTTTTGGCCAGTTTGACATTGCTTTTGATCATTCAGTCATCTTGCTTACATTTACATTAAAGAGGCACTTGTAGGTCAGACAAATATAACATAACAGTTATAATGAAATAACCACAAATGTCTTTTCTGTGCTCACAGCATTATCAGTTTTATTCAACCCCCAAGTGACATTCAATCTTAGTACTTAGTACAGCATCCTTTTACAGTTATAACAGCTTTTAAACGTGAAGCATAGCTTGACACAAGTGTCTTGCAGCGATCTACGGGTATCTTCGCCCATTCTTCATGGGCAAAGGCCTCCAGTTCAGTCACATTCTTAGGCTTGCGCACTGCAACTGCTTTCTTTAAGTCCCACCAGAGGTTCTCAATCGGATTTAAGTCTGGTGACTGCGATGGCCACTCCAAAATGTTCCAGCCTTTCCTCTGCAACCATGCTCTAGTGGACTTGGAGGTATGCTTGGGATCATTGTCCTGTTGAAAGGTCCAACGTCTCCCAAGCCTCAGGTGTGTGACGGACTGCATCACGTTTCCATCCAATATCTCCTGGTACTGAAGAGAATTCATGGTACCTTGCACACGCTGAAGCTTCCCTGTACCTGCAGAAGCAAAACAGCCCCAAAGCATGATTGACCCTCCACCATGCTTCACAGTAGGCAAGGTGTTCTTTTCATCATAGGCCTTGTTCTTCCTCCTCCAAACATAGCGTTGATCCATGGGCCCAAACAGTTCTAATTTTGTTTCATCAGTCCACAGAACACTATCCCACAACTTTTGTGGTTTGTCCACATGGCTTTTGGCATACTGCAGTCGACTCTTCTTATTCTTTGGAGACAGCAAGGGGGTACGCCTGGGAGTTCTGGCACGGAGGCCTTCATTACGCAGTGTGCGTCTTATTGTCTGGGCTGAAACTTCTGTACCCACATCTGACAAATCTTTTCTCAGTTCCTCAGCAGTCACACGGGGACTTCTCTCCACTCTACGCTTCAGGTAGCGCACAGCAGTCGAAGTCAGCATCTTCTTTCTGCCACGACCAGGTAGCGTTTCAACAGTGCCCTTTGCCTTGAATTTGCGAATGATGCTTCCTAAGGTGTCTCTTGGTATGTTTAACATCTTTGCAATCTTCTTATAGCCATTGCCCTTCCTGTGAAGAGAAATCACCTCTTCTCTTGTCTTCCTGGACCATTCTCTTGCCTTCACCATGTTTGTAACCACACCAGTAAATGTCTAGAAGGAGCTGAGTATCACAGTCATTTTAAAGCTGCCTAATTGGTGCTTATTATGCTTGATTGCTGCTCGGTGACATCCACAGGTGTTTTCAATACCTGATGGAAAGCACCTGTATGAACCTCTGTTCTTCAGAGTGGTAGTCTTTAAGGGGTTGAATAATTGTGGCAATGAAGAAACCACATAAGAACCATTTACTACTGTATTACATAAACAATTGATGTCATTTTAGTTGCATTTGGGTAGTTACAACGTCCTTGTAGGATTTGATTCTGAATACAATTCCAAATGTACACTATAGTCCCTAAACCCCTTTACAGCATTGGGGGTTGAATAATTTTGGTCACAACTGTAGGTTGCATGCCGACGATCCCCGCGGAATGGTTTGGATCTGCGGACTGGGGAGCATAATGGATCGGACTCCGATCCATTATGCTCAGTCCGCAGATCCAAACCATCCTGTGGGGATCGTCGGCATACAACCTATACGGGGTGACACCGGACCCGCTCCACGAAAAAGTAAGTTGTAAAGCAAGCCGACGATCCCCACAGAATGGATTGGATCTGCAGATTGAGCATAATGGATCAGAGTCCGATCCATTATGTTCAATCTGCAGATCCAATCCATTCTGTGAGGAGCGTCGGAGGGGGTGTCACCAAGTGTTATCACACCGGGTGACACCAACCCTAGGGACGCCCTTGGAATATATATATATTCCATTTATTTATTTTTTTTTTTTTTTTTTTTTAATTGATTGATTGGACCTTTCATACAGGAATTAAAAAGAAAACGAGTTCAGCTACGATTTTCTTCTTTTCCTTCCTTGAGTTCAAAAACAGTATT